GTCGCTCGCTTGCAGTGGCCTGCCGAAACCTCAAAGTTAAATTTAAGTGACAATAGTGCAATACATTTCAAATGYAACAACAATTATGGCAACAACCACATGCAGTGGCTTTAAAAACAATAATTCGTATTGGTTGCAGCGACGCAGCTAAAACGCTTGCCAACACAATCAGCACCAGCAACCGCACTAGTCACAGCAACAGCAAAAGCAACAAAAATCGCCGCCAAATCAACACTGACAACTACTACAACGCGGGCTATCCACTCGTAATCTGAAATACCCTAAATTCAAATATTGGAATGAAGAAAATTCCTTAAATTAGTTTTTCGCGAAATGCGCGCGTAAATAGACAACAACAAGAACAATTCACGTTTTTTACCCACACATACAGACATACACAACTGTACATTCATGTATGGGCAAGTAAATGTAGCAATACTTAGGTGAAAGCACCCAGCAGGTAAATGGACAAGTGGATTTAGATATATGAAAGTCTATACATCGACGGATATTAGAAAAATACAAGAATTGACGTTAAATTCGACTGCACCGAAGCTTTAATACTTTTCACAGCTGCATTTTTTAAAGCATAAAAAGTAATACAAAATTGTTATCCTTACTTTCAGCATTCAATTTTAAGACCCTATCGTTTGATAGGAACAATATTTTCGGATATTGTAGCCTTGTCTAAGAAAATAATGTATGACAAATTATCTCGTATAATAAAAAGGCTTTTCATACAAGAACTTGATTTGTGTCGGTCGGTTTGTATGACAGCTATACGCTATAGTGTACCGATCTGATTATTGCATGCGGAAATTGTAGCTTTGCTTTCATTAATAATCTGTGCAAAAATTTCGTGATGATATCTCTTCAAATAAAAAAGCTTTCCATACACCAACTTGATTTTGATCGCTTAGTTTGTTTGACAGATATATGCTATAGTAGACCGATCTTAACAATTTATTCGGGAAATATAGCGCTGACTTGGAGAATTATCTGTGCCCAATTTCATAGATATATTTTAAAGCAAAAAGTTTTGAGAAAAAAATTAGAAAATTACGATTAGAAGACGCTGTACTAAAAACCAACTTTTACTTGAATAAGTTTGCTAAGAAAATTGTTTGCAGAAATACGGTTCCGTTTCGTTCTTCCTAGAAGAGAACTCAGTTCAGATCCAGACTACTAGAGTCAGCCAGCCAAGTATAAATCTATTGTTATATCTTTAGAATAGATCTAAGTTGAGATGTAGTCAGACTATAGGGAATAATCCAGGGACGGCCCAGACCTAAAGAAACTTCCTTTGAATCAGCCATACAGAATCCTAATTCTATTGCGATCTCTCTTGAAGAGAACTGAGTTCTGATTTACTCAATACGACAAAGAGGAATTGATGAACTCGAGAATAATCCAGTTCTAAAGTATCATTTATTCGACTCAGTCATGTACCATAGAAGCATGATTCTGTTGCGATCTCTCTCMAAGAAAACTGATTTAAGAGATGGAATTTTTCCGGAGAGTACTGAGGATAAATAGGAATTGATGAACTTGAAAGAAACCCAGTACTGAAGGATCATAGCTCACTATGCTACGGACTCACTGAACCCTTTTCTGTTTTAAGTAGGTTAATTTTGTCATAATTAGAACCGACGCTTCGCTAACAGCATTCTGTTTATAAGAAGACTGACACATATGGGCTTGAAAGTTTGCAGTAATAGTGTCATTCTAATTAATTGCCCGACTGGGTATAACCCAAGTGCCATTTGTTGATCTTGCGCACCATACTTCTACCTTTTTCCTTGATTTCCTTGATTTGTTGCCTTTGTTGTCACACACGCTGTAACGTTAGTTGGTCATTTCTTGWGTGATAGCTGTTGATATTGCTTCCAAGTGGCTAAATTTTGGCGAAATATCAGCGGGGACTTTGGCAGCGCTCCGGCAGCGCAATGCCACCTCCACCACCCCGGCCATACATCTTGCACTGAGGCGACGGATTGATTTCGCAATGCCGACAATCGCTTGTTTGTACTTATTTTGATTATACAAATGTGATTTTTCAACGTGTCACCTACTTGTACAGCCATTTACATGTATACTTGTATATATAAGTAGCTAAGTATGTAAGAATATGTGAAGGCGCACAAGTGAAGTAGCCGGAGGGTATATAACTATTCCAACAAATACAATACAATTTAACGTTTTGTAATGATGAGACATTGGACAATGATTAGAGAGGTGGTTGGCAGTGTGTCGCATGAAGGTTGAAAAAATTTAATTTTACCGGTAAAAATAGCCCTCGGACAAAAACAAATCGACTGACGAGCAGCTGAAAGTGGCGAAATTTGAAAACCTGCAATTCGTCTAATGGCTGCTGACTGGCAATTTAACGAAACAATCTAAACGGTCCACTAAATTTTATTTCTACTTGCTACCCCCTGGTTTTTGTTTTTATTATTGTTATTGCGATTTGYACTAAGTGCAGTTAGTTAGTGTGGACAAAGGCACTGATTTTCGGTTTCTCATTACGTCGAGTTCAAAGCTGCCAAAAAGGTGGAGAACAAGACGAGGCTATAAACCGCTATAGACGCATCGCCTGGCTGCCCAAGCAGTCAGGTAGTCAGGTGGCCGCTCGATTCACGAATGGCACACAGCGCGACACAATAATGAAATTGGAATACGATTATTTTGCTTGCCGATTGTGTCGTGTTTCTTCTTCTTCTTGAATTAAATGCCTTTTTTACAAATAATCTGTCATTCCTTATAGTGACAACAAAAATAACCAGCAGTACTACAATTCATATTTACATACTTATGTATTGCTAGAAGTGCACAAGTTTATTGCAAATAAATATGTAAATCTCAAATAAATTTCATTTAATTGCCAGCGTTGAAAAGATGGCCAGAAGCAGGTATGTGTGTTTCTGGCTAGTTCGCTGCCTGGCTGGCGGGCGTGCAGACGCCTGCTAAATTGGGCAGCRCAAAGGGTTTTATTTGCCAGGGATCCCAGCGCAGTAGCTGATCAACAAGCTGGCTGGGTAACCTCTTATTTATTTCGGTCAATTTCGTACTTGTGAATGCAMAATGAAATGCGACGTTCGAGAATTTCAAATAAATTGTTGTAAATTAACGTTATTTCCTCAACTATATGCTATGCCACTATTAGTGATGTACGTCCKGATATTCTGTGACGAATTCTGAGGAGACTTCTATTAGGAGTTCTCAATAAAATCTTGTTACAGACTGCCAGATCAATGTCAATGTACTGTCTTACTAGCAGAAGTCGCAGGCAAAAACAAAGTGTCATTAGATGTACTTCAACGAAGTGCGGTTCGTTAACAGTGAGCTTAAAGCTAGTCAAAGAGTGCACCTTACGCCACAGAGGAAACGTCGAAAACTGTAAAGCCGATGAGCCCGTACGAAAGCGCATCTTACCCMAACCCCATTAGAATGGGAACGAGCAGGTGTTCCCATGTCTTTGTTCGTTCGGCCGCTGGATCTGTCTGCTTCGCGCAAGATCAACCAGGCATTACGAYAGCCTTCTGGCTCAAAGTGCCATAGCTGGCTACTAGCTCTTAACAAGRTTCTCATGCGCGCTATGATAGTTGTCATTGTCCAGCTGTCTCCAGCCTAAGGTTGAAGCGATGCATTTTACGAACGCGGTGAATCGGCTGGATATATTAGTCGGMTTAATAACTTTTTGGCTAGCTTCAGACGATTGTATGACTTCTGACGATTACAACATTAGCTTTACTAAGAGTCATTACAGATATCATAAGGCAAGCGAATCTTGTACAAAGGTTACCCKTTGTCAAACAAAGTATCCMTAACCTCAATATATAAAAGAAATGTCCGTAAAATTTGTTTCAGTTGACAGTCCGTGGCCGKGTAAAAACAGTGTTCGTTCAAGTTAGGTAACCGACTGTTTTGGGGCATTTTAGTTGCTGTTGAATCCTCTAAAACGGTACATTCCTGGTTTATTTAAGTTTATGTGAAGTTAATCAGGTCAGAAACTAAAATAATACATTATTTTTTGAACTTAAAGAGCTATTTGGACCAAACGATATATCGTTTGGAAGATTTATATTTTTAGGATAATTTGAAGTTTAAGAAAATCATTTTTACAAAATCTTCAATATACCAAAATTATGCTATATTTTTGAATATTGACAATTTTTCTAAAAATGAATTCCTTAGGCTTTAAAATCACAAATTCAATCAAATATTTATATCACATTTATAATTGTGCTCATGCGTTGCTATTAAGTCACTATAAGTCACCATTTGCATAATACGAAAAACCTATCTGCGAAGCTGTTTGATTATATCCAATAAATTCGCGTCAACCGTAGCGTATGAGTAACATTTATGAGTAAACATCTACCACTTGCGCTCCGCGGAAACAAGTCTACGCTTATTCTCCACATTCACTCATCTTTCCTCAATCGCTCTCTTTTAAACTCATTTGATTTCAGAGTATTGGACAATGATCTCTACTCAGAAACCACTCCTCTCATTAACCGCTCACTTAGGCAAATCATTCATCAAGCGACGCTGCGATCGGTTTATTTTTGTTTACAATTTCGTTTGTTTTCGAAACAAGTGTCCCAAAATTAAAACAATAAAAACGCCACAATCAAAATAAACACGAATAATGGGCGAACGACCAAAGCAACTATCAAAACAAATACAACAATTAAAATGCAATACACAAATTTAGGAGGAAAATGAGTGCGCGAGTGTGCGTTTTGTATATGTGTGTGTTTTTTTGCAGTCTTATTCTTATTCTTATTTTTTTTTTGTTCAGCATACATACATACATACACTAGCGCGAAGTTAAGACGCGAGACAAATTTGCGCTGACAGCGATGAGCCATCGGTGGCGTATTGAAACGATATGCACACGCAGACAACGCTGCAATTGGTGAAAGCCAGTGGCTGACGAAGACGAAAACGGTGACAACGTCGACAGGCGGAAAGGCGGAAAGGCGACGACGACAGTGACGATGTTGCCGCTGCGAGTGTGTTGTGCTGCCGCTCAATGAAGTGTATTTGGACGGCGATAATTACGTTGAGCTGCAGCAAACACATACAATTACCGTTATGCTGTTGCGTGCGAGTGCTGAGTATGCCGAGCGTGTGCGCTATGTACTGCATGTGTGTTGCTGTGTSGAAAAACASAATATTTAGGGGAATGAAATGGGAGACAAAAAATATTATACACACACACAATACACATAAATACAAATAGCAAAAGGTGTGAAATGCCTACTTTAACAAATGACTTTTGTTTACAATTACAGCAATAAAATATTTTTATYTCTGTGCTCAACGTGATTTAAGAAAAAAGAGTGTGGAATTAAGGGAGAACGAGTGGGAAATTAAAAAAAAGTGTGAAATTAAATAAAGCACTATTTTTCATGAATTCTTAATGATTTATTGCTAATTTTACAATTAAAGCAGTAATTGAAAACTTACGGAAGTAAACGCCCGAAAACAAAACGTGCTATTGTGTGCAGAAAAAACAAAATTTATGTTTGCTTGAACTTGCTTGCACCTCATTTGGATTATGGAAAATGTTACTGCGACCGCAACAGCAGCCACTATAAGACAGCAACAACAACAATTACAACAGCATCAACAGTTGCAGCAACACCATCAAGAGCAACAGCAGCAACATGAGCATCAACAACAATTTTGCTTGCGTTGGCACAATCATCAGGTAAATAAGTTAATAAAAATTAAAAAAAAAAAACAATGGAAAACGTAGCTCTAATACTCTTTACAATTAAAAACGTATCCATACAAAAGTTTGATTTTTATCGGTCAGTTTATATCGCAGCAATATGCTAGTAGTCTAATCCGTAAAATTTGTTCAAATATTTTGGCGGTCCTTTAGAAAATTAYCGATGCTAAGTTTCATGAAAATATCTCGTCAAATAAAACGTTTTCCATACAAGAACTTGATTTTGATCGATAACTTTGTATGGTAGCTATATGTTGTAGTAATCTGATCTGAACAATTCGTTCGAAGATTGCAGCATTGCTCTTGCTAATGACCCACGTMAAATTTCGTGAAGCTATATTATCAAATATAAAATTTTCCCATACAAGGATTTCATTTTGAGCGATCACTTTGTATGTCAGCTATACCCTATAGTCGACCGATATTTACGATTCTCACAAATGCGCTGGTTCTTARGGAGAAAATATTGTGTGCAAAATTTTAGATCCATATCTCAAAAACTGAGGTAATAGACATGGTTAATTTGATTCTGATCACACTTTTACAAACTTTGTGATTTTTTTAATGCTCATAAGACGCTCACTTGCGCCTGTTCAGAAAACTAAGACTAAGAAAAGGGTTTCTKCCATTTTTCCGATACGCAAAAAAGCCGAATATAAAGCAATAGCAAAAATGTTACTATTCCCAAAAAGAGTCCAGATCTGAAAATAAATATTCTAAAATTGTCTCAAAATCGTMTTCGTAGCAGAAAAGGTACAGCAAATGTGATTCGCACGCGCCCTGCTGTCAATAAAACATTCYTTGCACTTTTCCGCTTCACAAAGCAGCACACATTTCAGGCGAACGCATTGGGGTCCGGAAGAGATATGGACAACGGCAACTGACAGGCCGGCAAGCAGACGAGCTAGTGAATGCAAAATAAAACAAATTGCACACATTAATTACAACAACAACATGAATGCAACTCAATGCAAATGACAACAAAACAAACGAAATGTCAAAAGTGGAACTAACGGCTCATTGAAATAAGCCGCACCATTGCTAACGCAAACAGAAATTTATAAATATACGCGAGTGTGTGTGTTGTAGGTAAGGAAGAAATTCTTTGGATTTTGGCAATTGCACGAAACGTTCAATTATTTGGAAAAATGTTTTTCCCTATTAATGCTTGTGTATTTATACGTTAGAGCGGGCCGATTTTCCGGAGGCCAAAAGGGAAAAAATTGCAAATGCGGGAAATGTTTTACGGATCATTCGTTCAACTTTGCTTCAGAGATTTAAATTTCATGGATTTAAAACCGATATGATTTTTTAGGCGAAGTTTTTAGGGACATTGATATTCTACTGATTATTTGTGGAAATCGGTAAGATCGGACAATTGCTAGCTCGAAACTGGTTCCCTTAGTCTCTACAATGATCCGTAGAGAATTTCCCGCAAAAGCGGTTGTAGAAAAAACCGGCCTGCTCTATTATACATACATGTATAGCCTGGTACAACTTCAAACGGTGATTCAAACTTGATTTTGATAGGTCAGTTTGTGTGGCAACTATATGCAACTCGATCTGAATGATTTCTTCGGAGATTATACTATTATCTTAGACAACAACACAAGCCAAATTAGTTTAAGATGCCTMAAAAAACGATCAAGTTTTCCATACGAGCATTTGATTCTGATCCTTCCACAGCAATTGAACGTTATGACTCATCGAGTGTTGRTCTCACACTATCCTAATATTTAAATATTTTCATTTCTTTACAGACTAGTCTCTTGAGCACACTGCCAGTGCTGTTGGATCAATCACATCTGACTGATGTCACCATCTCGGCAGAGGGGCGTACTTTGCGTGCGCATAGAGTTGTGCTCAGCGCATGCAGGTAAAAAGCATCAAGCGCAAAACTAATTTACATTAATGCCATATTTCTACAGCACTTTCTTTCTGGAGCTCTTTCGTACACTGGACACCACCAGCCATCCAATTATTATCATACCAGGCGCTTCTTTTGCAGCCATTGTGGCGCTACTCACCTTCATGTACTCCGGTGAGGTAAATGTGTATGAAGAGCAAATACCGATGTTGCTTAATCTGGCAGAGACTTTAGGCATTAAAGGGCTGGCCGATGTGCAAAATAATGTGAGTGCGTCAATTGATTTTAACAAACAAATTTTATTAATTTTAAATATTTTATGAAGTTACAGAAAGCAAATAGACGCGCTGCAACAGCACCACCGGCGCCACCACAGAACGCGCATGACTTCTTGGATGCCTTGCGTAAAGAAGAGTCTTACACGCCGCCTACGCCACCCTCCCCGCCAGCAGTACCAACCACTTCTATGGCACCGCCCACGTTGCCACCACCTTTAGCCTCCACCGTACCACCGCCAAGCGCGCAGTTACCTTTACTCTCCGCCGCCACAGTGCCGAACGCATTCAATTCAACGCTACTCGGCAGCAAGCTTCCCACACCGCTGGAGAGCTTGTTTCTGAAATCCTTGCAGTTTTACCCAAATTTGCTGCCGCAGCCACTAAATTTCTCACAAACAGCGCTGAATAAGACAAATGAACTGTTGGCTAAATACCAACAGCAATGCAACAGTTTGTACCAGGATGCGCAAGGCTTGTCCGCTAAGGAGATTCCACCAGCGTACGCCGCTGATGACTACGCGCCAACTGGCCAGTTGTTTACTGGCGCGTTGGATGAGGCTCCCGTTGGTTATGGCGCTGCTAAGCGTTTCTGTTTAGGTGAAAAACAGCGAACATTAAGYCTATCAACGGCGCAAYCGCAATTGACGCATCTACATTATCCTCACCAACAGCCACATGCACCGTCGCCAGAAGCGCACATGAAACACACATTAACACATACACAAACGAGTTCATCACAACAAAAAGACATTAAACGTATTGATAAGATTGTAGAAAACTTACGSAAAACACCAACAGTCGGTGAAAGTGGCTTGTTGGGCGCAACATGTGTGCCGCAGTCACTACAGCAGCAACGTCAATCACCGCTACAACAGCACCAAAGCCTACATGGTCAACTCCAGGCGCCGTCGCTGAGCGTGAAGACGTCATTGGGCGGTAACTACACGSCTACCTTGCAATCACCACATTTGAGTGGACACAAATCACCCTGGTCTTTGTCTGCGACAGCAACTTGCGGTACGACACAGAGTCAATTACAGCAGCAACATCAACAACACGCACACGCTATGCCTTATTTGAGCGCAGAGGAGCAAGTGGCCAAGCTGCAGCAGCAAATCGATCAGTTTGCTAGCTGTAGCCGCAGCGTTGCACCTACTGCAACCACAGCAACGGGCGCCGTTAGTAGTGAGCTTAAAGCTAACGCGCAGTCCGATGCGAATATATTGACTACACAGACAGAGAAGCCACCCCTTGGYTCAGCACATGCGGCGCATACGTCCAATGCGCCGAACACAAGTCCACAGCAGAAACCACCGTCCAATTCGAAGTTGTATGCGACTTGCTTCATATGCCACAAACAACTCAGCAATCAATATAACTTGCGTGTGCATCTAGAAACCCATCAGAATGTACGGTGAGTTAGACTTTTCATGCGTTTAATTGATATTTTTGTTTATAATGCAATTTTCTGCTTCAACAGTTATGCTTGCAATGTGTGTTCGCATGTGTCGCGCAGTAAGGACGCTTTGCGTAAGGTAAGTATTACTAATTACTTTTCAGTTGAATGTCACAAATCTTAATTTTATATTTTTTCTTCATTAGCATGTCTCTTATCGCCATCCCGGCGCGCCCTCTCCCTGCGAATCGGAAGCGCGTCGCAAACGTGCCTCTAAAGCGACTAATGCGTCACCGCCCATCATTACCGTCACCACACCAACAAGCGCTRGCAATTCAAGCAGCGGCAGCGCGACACCCACCTCACCTGCCGCTTCTGTCAGTGCACCATTTCAATTAAATCCCCTCAATACGATTGCCACGTCAGCTGCGGTCACAACGGCCACATCAAGCGGCACTGGCAGCACGTCTGCTTTGGACGCCGAAGTGCAAATGGTCGCTGCAGCACAATTGAGTTCCGCGTATATGTTTCTACCAAATCAATTTCACTTAGCGGCTGCAGCAGTTGCTGCTGCACAACAACAAAGAGATGCTACGAATACAGCAGCAGCAGTTGCAGCTTTAAGTTTTTCCGCAACTTCGGCAACATCTGCGCCAACTACCACGACCGCAGCGAATGGTGAAGATAGTGCTGCCGGCTTATTGTCAGGTAGTATGCATATAAAACGTGAACCCAGTCCAACTATAAGCAGTCCAGGGGTGAGGCAACAAATTAACAGCAATAATAATAGCCTGGGCGGCGGAGCCGATATGAATCCAACAAATATGCCTTAATAAAAATGTTTGCAGTACCTACTTTAGTCACACTAAACACTTTTTAGTGCACTTTTTCCACCACTTACTAACTTATTTCTATCTATGTTAATTATGTCACAATTTTATTAGCATTATTCTTGCTTATTTAGTAGTTAAAAAGCGGCTATTAGACATAAGTCCTTTAAATACCTTTGATTTCACGTCAAACCCATTGTTAGCCCCGGCTGTGATAATTAGCGAAAACCGTTTATTTTAATTATTTTACTGAAGTTCACGTTATAACTTTTAGTTATTTTTATATATAATATAAAGCAATCACTTAGCACCTACATAAGTAACGCCACTGACACTCGAACAGCTGTCACTGTTTGTTGAAATGTTTGCAGTTTTCAAAGTAAAATATCAGTAAACCATAGGCTAGATTGCTTAATGCCAGACTTTCCACAAGAATTTAAGTTATATAGATTTGATAGCAACAATAAAACAGCACTTACCGATATTTCGCTCAATTTGCTTTGCATCCTGCTAGTGGCATAACAAACACTTGTGGATTTGGTTATTAACACATTACCTTTCCCATTATTTCTGTAAACACTTTATATACACCACTTCTAATTACCAAAAAGCACCGTAWATGTGCTCCACTTTTGCACATTTCTAACAGAGAAATTAGCACTTGGGCCAATCTGCTTGGCCGCTTCTTAATGCCAGCATGCTTCTTAATGAAGCAGCAGACACACATTATCCACAATATACGTACACACTTCATCTACTTATGATTTCACACAGTCAATTTGTTAAAAACATACTTTACACACTCATAACAAAGAAATTAATAATTTGTACAAATCTGCAGTGCCGCCTTCTAAAGGCTTGTGCTGGCAGCAGACACACATGCTTATTTGCGTTATTCCTTCACTACTTTTCCTAATATACATATCTACTTATTTGCAAGTAATACACTACACTTTGTTTGTTAATACACACCACACATTAAATGAAAGATATTTTCTCACTTTTAACAACAAATTAACACTTTTCTAAGTACATTGCACAAGTAACGCCTTTTGACAGCTAAGGAAGCGGAAAACTGTAAATTTAAAACAGTGCTGCCATACAAGCAAGTGGTGACATTTAAAATGTCAGGGTTGCATTTTCCTTATAAAAAATTGTTTAAATGTGTTGAATTTGTTTGTTATTTCAAATAATTAATTTCAATTTTTTATTGTTGTTTTTGTTTTTTAAATAAGAATAATACCTTGCATATTTTCTGTACATTATAGGAGGCTTTTTTGGTTAGAAATCATATTCACTTT